CCGCCACGTCTTCGACTACGCCCGGGAGGTCCGCGACCTCCTGGCGGCGCACTGGGCCGCCGAGCAGACGGCCCTCGCCGACGCGGCGATCGAGCGGGCGCGCGCCCACGCCGGGCCTCGGCCCCTTCCCGAAGAGGCCCCCGGCCGCGGCGCCGCCTGGCAGGATCGCGCACGGGGCGTCTTCCTGACCTGCGTGCCGCATGCCTGGCGCCGCTCTGCCGGGATCCAAAGCGACATGGAGCTCCACTGGGGCTATGCCGTGGCCTTGGAGGCACATGCACGGCAAATGGAAATGCCAGTGGTGGACCGGTTATCCCCCCAATAGCCCGTGCTCCAATAACGTTTTTTTAAATTTTCAGATTTAGTTTTACTGCTATTTTTTTTTTCACTGTATCTATGTTTTTCTTTTCTCCATCCTTTAGGGAAGAGAATCTGGAAGGAATTCCACACAGAATGGGTTAAAGGGGGTTCTTATCGCGTGTTTTTGTAAGTATATCTATCTATATATGTGTGTGTGTGTGTGTCTGCGATGTATACTTTTCTTATCACCTTTTTCTCATATTTTTTTTTCAATTTTTTGCGTTATTTAGGACTCAACTATAGCACAATTCATTCTTTTTTCTACCAAGAAGGGATATCTATATTTTCACGAGTCAAGGCTTCAAACAGTCATCGATTTACTGCAGAGTTGTTAACTAGGGTTTGCGTTCTATCCAATTATAATAGATGCAATGCCACATGGGAAAGCTCATAATGCCCAGAAGTACAGCATTATTGAGAAAATGGCCGCGGGTAGTTTTGGCGTCGTTTTTAAAATCAAATGTCTCTCTAATAACTCAACGATGGTAATGAAGCGCATTCCGCTTGAGGACCTCGACCGTGAGCAGTGCCATGAGGCTGCCAAGGAACTTTCTCTCATAAGCGAACTTCATCATCCTTACATCGTATCTCAGAGGGACGCTTTTCTGTTTGACGATAACGACTTGTGTCTTGTCATGGATTATTACGATGGCGGGGACCTGGACTATCTGCTTGCACGGCAGCGAGACAAGGACGAGTACTTTGACTTTGAGCAAGTGATGCTGTGGTTTGTTCAGATGTTACTGGCCTTGGACTATCTACACGCGCACGGTATCGTCCACCGAGACGTCAAGACACACAATTTATTTCTCGATCAGGCGAGTAATACCATCGCAGTGGGGGACTTTGGCATTGCAGAGAAAGTGGACTTTAGTAGCCCCAAGAAGGATGCCGGTGCGGTTACTGGTAGCACCACGGCCTTGCCATCTTCAGTTTTGGCAACGGCTGGGAAGTCCCAATGGCGGGAGGGTGGCGCCCCCTTCTCTAATCGCATCGTGGGGCACCCACACAGTGGATTGCCACCGCCTACCAACAGCTCCGAGGGTGTTGATGGCCCACATCTTTCCAGCAGTAGCGATAACCACCTCCAAGAAACTGACATAGCCTCTCCGAATCACGAGCATGTCCCGGACTCTCCTCCAAGGGTAATTCGATCACCAACGAAGATAGCTGTGAAAGGCACACCACTTTACATGCCACCGGAAGCTCTTCAAGGGATGCCCTATGGCCCCAATAGTGATGTCTGGTCGCTCGGATGTATTCTTTACGAGCTTCTTTCGTTGAGGCATCCGTTCGACTCGACGGACATCGGTGGCCTCATCATGCGTATCATGCTGGGTGACAGGGGGCCGCTGCCGGCCCATTACCCACACGCCGTATCGGAGCTAATCAACGCGACCTTAACACTGGAGTGCGCGAAGCGCCCGTCGTGTGAGGAATTACTGCGCACCCCGTTGGTGAGCACTTACGCGAGTCGCTTCTTGGAACTGCGCAAGCAGGCCAACTCGCGCAACGCAAAGTCCGCAAGTCGCGGCAGCGCCAAACAGAAGTACCCCCTTGTGAAGGCGCCTGCCGGTTTCCAAGACGCCCGAGAGGAGGAGGATGCTTTTCAGCGCCAGCTTCGCCGTGTTTATGGCTCCCCGGGCGCTAACTCTCTATTGTCCAAGGAAGGACCGAATGCCTTGATGTCCTACCTCGAGTATGCTAAGCAGCTCAAGAAGCCCCTGAACCCCCCTTCTTACGACTGTGAACTGGCGCACCGCGGGCGCCGAGCTTCTGCGATGCTTATCCAGCTTACGTCGGCTTTCACCACGGACGGGCTTGGAAACCACGATACCACCACCCCAGGGACTTTACCCACCGTCAATACGTTGCTGTCCCTGGAGCTGAGCCCCAACGCGGGTTCTGTGGACCCCTCCCCTGCCGGCATCCGGCAGCGTACGATGTCCAACAACAACAGCGAGGACGATGAGGACCACCAAATGGCCAACGCGGGCGGGTCACTAAATTTCGATGCCGCAGACGCTGAGGACGGCCCTGACAGGGCTCATTTGGGCTTACACGCCAGAGAACATCAGAACGCGGAATCCCTGAGCAAATTGTCTTTCTTTGGCCTTTCCATCGACCGTTCTAACGTGGAGGATATGAGGAACCAGCCGTTGAGTGTGCTTGCCGCAGAGGTGCTTCGTGCGCGCGCGCTCCTTCAGAACGCGCTGTTCGAGCGGCAGCGGCGGAAAAACGCGGAGCGACTTCTGCTGGACGTCGGACCCCACCTCGTGGTGACGATGCCGCAGACCTTCAAAGGCGTGACCACGCCCGCAAGTGATTCCACCGCGACAAAGAAAGTCCCCCCCCCCCTGCGCCGCACCACCGAAGAGAGTCGACAGAAAGAGGTGCCGCCGGTCCTCTCTCTTGGCTGTGCGGGACCTGGCAAACTAGACTCATCAGGGGCGAGGGAGCACCCGGAGGAGATGCCGAGGGAGGTGTCTTTTGCTACCCGCGTCCATGGGTCTGTGGATGCGAAGTTGCAGGTCTACTTGGACCGGCGGGCGACATTACTCCAGTCCATCCTTGAGGAGGTTTCGGCGAATGTTCTGTCGCGCGTGTACGCGTATTATCGCGAACACAACATCTTCGTTCGCGACCCGGGTGTCGTGCTGAGCTTGGTGCCGGAGCGCAAGCAATGGAGGGTTTTGCCCTTCATTGAGGATATTGTAGTGCTAGACAAATTTATTGAAAAGAGCACCAACAACAATGACAAGGCCAGCTCCACTCGAACGGTGTCCAGTGGGCAAGTATCTTTTTGAAGTGTGAGAGCTTGCACATGACGATGCGGCGGTGCAGAAATAAGCAGAAAAAGGGTTCCAATATAGCGCACCTGGCATTGATGCTAAATTAATCCATCTACTTTCCGCCCCCTCCCCCCCCCCCCCCTTTTTTTTTGTGTTTGTAAACATTGTTATTCTCCTTAGTGTTTAATATTCTTGTGTTCTCCATATGTGTGGAGGTTCCGGAGACAGTTGCAAGACGTTGCATCCTTGACATTCCAATGTTACCGTTTGTATGTCAGTGGAGGTAAAGTGGGGTGAGGGGATTATTTCCTGAAATCGCTACGGCTATCATCTCTGATGATGTAAACCATCTGACTGTGGTGTCGGGGGCTTAGCACCCCGGGTCGAGGGGAAAAGTCAAATGACTGCACAACCTTCGCTTCACAAGTTGTGTTGCGTGCGATGGTTATGATAAGTGGGACGGAAGTAGTGTTTTGATTAGAGGGCCTGAAAACAAGCTTTATCTTATAACCACTCCTTCTTACTTTATGCTTTGCCATGTGGCTGGATAAATCTGATCCGATGATATTAACGACCCCCAAAAGGAACGTTGGCTCATGTGGTAAATTTTATATCACACAATATCCCTCCAAATGCTTCGAATTGGGAATGCAAGTAACATCTATCCCCCTCACGGTTTTCAGTATTTTGTTTCATTTCACATAGTTACTTAAAATCAGTTCAGTATATGGACAGTTGCATCCCCACCCATCACTGTATATTTCACGTGCCTAGGGTGATCTTTTTATCCTGTTATTTTTTTCATTGGTACTTCGTTATTGCCTCGAGTCCATGAATTTTCTTAACTTTCGCGCTTAACTTTATTGACTCTTTATCACTGCATGCATTCAAGCTGTAAGTTTAAAGATAAACCATTTTTTTTTACAGTCGTGAGGTACATTATACAAGTTCAAGCTTCAGGATGGGCATGGAACACTACGTTAAGGTGAGGGACTTCGGCGGTAATAGCGGAGCCTTTCTGGCCACGGACAAACATACACCGGGTAAAAAGGTCGTCATCAAACGCCTCGCCGACGGCGCACAGGGCATGGATGAACTTAAAGCTTCACTCTCTGTACAACACCCTAATATAATACATTTTCTTGAATCTTTTGTATATGAGGGTAGTTTGTATGTTGTTCTTCGCCACGAGGCGGGTGGAGATATGGATAACCTTATCACTCGCCTTTTGAAGCTTCACAAACTTCCTACGACACATACTTTATTGATGTGGTATACACAATTGCTTGATGCTTTAGCACATTGTCACTCACAGAGAATTATTCATCGTGATATTAAACCTAGTAATATCTTTGTTTCTGAGGATACGAAAACGTTGTACCTCGGTGACTTCGGTTCCGCTAAGGAGCTTTCGTCTACTAACCTGACAACTACATTTGTTGGCACACCGCTATGGATTTCACCGGAGGTGCTTCAGGGCAAATCCTACTCTTATTCCTCTGATATATGGTCTCTTGGGTGTGTTTTTTATGAGATGGCATGTCTCCACCGTCCATTTACTGGCAATTGCTTTGCGAGGCTTGTAAGTGAGATCACTAGCGGCAGCTTGGCACCGCTACCGGATGACATAATTCCCATCATTAAAGAGGTAATTATACAAATGCTTGCACTGGATCCTTCCAAGCGACCCACGGCGGCAGAAACATTGGCAATTCTGAAGCGTGCCCTCGCGTCGGAGAAGGAAATGCAAAAAAAAATACCAGTGCGCCACACAAACCAAAAAAATCGCCTCGGAACTTACGGTGGGTCACCCCACCGCGGGAGGCTCAAGGGTCCGTTGCCAGAACCGCCAAACTCCATACCATGTCGTCATCTAGAATACTGTCCAACGTTGTCAAAAATGGATCCAAAGCCAAAGCGACGAATAATTTTTCGCGATATATGACGACGTCGGCTCTGACGAGTTCACAGGAGTGCGCCGAATCCCCACCAGCGGCCGATGTCCCGACGAAGAAGTTCCCCAACCCGGATGACCAAACCCCGGTTGCGCGCGAACGCCACGCGACGGCGGTGGTTGCTATCTCCCCCGCGCGGCATGCGCCCGGCGTGAATGTCGTGCGGGTGCGGAGTGCGGAGCCTTATCACCACTCACGCGATGTCTGGCCGCCGCCGGACCCGGCAAGCCCCCATCCAGACGACGAGGGCAAGGCGGGCAGGCGCTCAATTGCGTCGAACGATCCCAACGCGAGGTCAGGCAGTGATGGGGCCCGCAATAGCGACCACAAGACCGCGCCCGTGCACTCTCCCCAGGCCGAGCAAGATCCCGGAGCTCGCGGTGCTGAAGCGAAGGCCACACTAAAGGAGAAGCGGACAGAACCCAGCGAAAAGTCTCCCGGTGAGGTCTGGATGTCCCCGACGTTACTCATCATACCACATTCAAACAAAGCCCGTAGAAACCATCGATCCCCCAAAAAAGCTTCAAAGAAAACCAATATCTCCAACTCGAACCTTTTTTCATCGCGTTCGCACCGGAGCGCGTCGGAGTTGGCATCCACCCCTACTTCTAAGCACAAGCGTTCGCCCTATATGCATAACATTGAAGCAGCCATCACCTCCAATTTTAATCGACAACAAATAAAGAGCCAAAAGTGTGCAATCCTGAAGCGAACACCCACTACAATGCCAATCGGCGGGAACAAAGTAGCGGAGATGCCCGTAGAAGCACCAACTATTGTAATACCGCGATTGCACCAGGTCGTGAGTGAGAAGGCGGAGCCAAGTAGGCTGACGAAAGCGCCAGACCGGCAACGCACCACGGAGCCTCTTTTTCCGTCCTCGGTCGGCGCCTACAACGGTGACGTGAAGGACAAACCCGCTGTCGTCGTCGCGGCGGAGGGCCCACCGGTCAAAGCGTCCCGAGGCCAAGTCCAACCCCCCCCCGTCCCTCGGCGCGCGCAGGCGGCGGCTGAGCGAAATAAACAGCAAACCCTCTCCAAGGGCCAAAATGCCATCCCCCAGCGTCCGAGACCGCAGGCCGAACGGGCCCGCGAGGCGGCCTTATCGACGGCCCAGCCCAGGATCACCGCCTCGATGGCGGAGACCGGCGGCGGGCCCCAGAAGAACCGTTGGCTTCTGGAGCTCAACCACGACGCGACCGACATCGAGAACTACCTTTGCCGGTTTCGAGAGCACGACTGGAATGTGCTGCATGCGGACGCCCCCCCCCCCGGCGAGACCGAGCCGCCTCAAGGGGAGGAGGGTGGTGACTCGAAACACTCCTTTGTTCGGCATATGGCGCTGCTATCTGCGATGGAAGAGCTTCAGTTATCCACCACCAGGGACACTCACAGCAAAACCCCTCCCAACAAGCCTAAACCCGCTTTCGTACCCAAGTCAAACGGACCAAACGCACTGAAAGAAGAGGCGCGGAGACTTGCACAAGAAAAGCGCGAAGTGCAGAGGGAAAAGCTAAAGGAGTTGATTCGTGAAGGGCGTGCAAAAGTGTCTGGGGGGAAAGCCGTGAATGAGAAGAAACTTAATGTCGAGATCAAGATTCCACAGCAATCCGGATCCATAGACAATAAACCGTCTTGTCCAGTAAATTCTCTCGAAGCGGTTTAACTTTTTAGATATTTTTTGTGTATTAGCTTGAGATTGCTATTAAAAGTAGTTTTGTATATGATTAAGTCCGTGAGAAAAAAAGTCTGAACGCGGATCTCTTGATGTCTGGTATCAGTTTGTCACAATATCTATATTTTCTCCCTTTTCATATATATTTTAGATACTCGATATTTTTAGGTTACACATCACCCGGAAGACATAGATATCCCCTTGACGGTTGTGGTCTGGGGGCTCACTTCTTATTTATGATATGTATACCTTCTGATTGGCTGGTGAAAGCATATTGCAAGTTAATTAAAAGCCAGATTTTTTAAAATTATCAGTTATAAAATAAAATAAAACTATGATAAAGCATAGAATAGATTTAATTATTTTATAAAGTATGTAACCATGATAGAAAAGTAGATCGATGTGTTTGTAAAATGCACATAATTTTTGTGCATAGGTGCGATAATAGATGAGGTGTCAATGTTTCGATACCTGAAGCATAGCAATGTGTTTTTCATTGATCTGATTAAGTGTATAGAATTGTAATACATACAAAGAATGAAGCTAGTAATATTAAAAACCCGAGGATTACCTTCATCCATTTGTGACCAGTGAACCACATGGATCATACAGAAAAAGACGACAGACCCAAAGTTCATAGGTTTATCACTACAGTATGCCAAGAGGAATATTAGAAGAGTGTACCTAGCGATTCAATGCACTCATATAACATTTAGGGAGTTCATTCCGACTAAAGAACATGAAATTGTAAAAAAATAAGGATATAAGTTTGGCGGAAACAATAAGTGTATGTTTGATGCTCAAAGAGTTACAACTACATTTAGGCAAGAAACCTAGAGTTCGGTACATAGATATCTGGCATTTCGAAGTCCCCCGCGATGCGCCATCCATTCGGATCCACGCTGTGTAGTTCCTGGCAAAACGTTCACGGGGCGCAGCACCAGATACAGATGCAGTCGCCCACTATGTTGCCCTTAGTGCTGTTTTTTTTTGCGCAGATTATAACGGGTAAACAGCCGTCCAATAGGGCAGCACAGCATGCACAAACAATGCGGGCATATCGCACATTTTTGGTTCAGTGAAGTGGCGTAGAGTTTGGATGCTGAGCACCACGATAGACAACTCCAGTGAATGACACAGCAAATTATATTCATCAAATCCGGCGACCCACAGCATGGTGT